TATGTTGTATCTTATTTTTTTCAGAGTTCTGGTGTTGGCGAAGCTAGCGTCTATCATGCATTGGTTGTAATATTTCTGGAATTCTTCGCATGGGGACTATTAACCATGCCTATTATTAGGGTACTGAATGAAACATTTCCGGATCATACGTTCCTGATGAATGGCTTGATAATAGGAATCAAAGGAATCTTGTCTTTTCTTTCTGCGCCACTGATTGGTGCTCTCTCTGACGTATGGGGTCGAAAATTTTTTTTACTTATCACAGTGGCCTTCACATGCGCACCAATTCCCCTAATGAGCATTAATACATGGTGGTTTTTTGCCATGATTTCTATCAGTGGCGTATTCGCTTGCACATTCTCAGTGGTGTTTGCATACGTTGCGGATGTAACAGAAGAAAATCAAAGATCACTAGCGTATGGTTTGGTACGTGTATCATTTTTGTAATTAGAATGACAATATTTGCAAGAACCAATTTTTATTTTATAATAAAAATAATCACTGGTTATCTAACTTATAAAATAAATTTTATTTTGCTTATCCCTCAGGTGTCAGCAACTTTTGCTGCAAGTATGGTAATAAGTCCAGCTTTGGGTGCTTATATTATGAAAACTTATGGAGAAAATCTTGCCGTAGCATTAGCAACTGCTATCGCAGTCTTGGATGTGTTTTTCATATTAGTGGCTGTACCTGAAAGTTTGCCTGAAAAAACACGTCCACCAGCACCTATATCATGGGAGCAAGCTGATCCATTTGCTGCTCTTGGAAAGGTAAAGTACATATACATCTATCTATAAGTCAGTCTAGAACGTTTTTCTACGTTTTCCGACCCGACGCCTAATTTCCCCCTTTTCAATCCCTGCAGTCCTCCGGTATTAGCATTCTTTCACTCATTGATTTATAGATTGATTTTTGCCATTCCAGTCTAGGTCTTTCTCTCTTCCTTGTTCTTAATCTTGTATTTTCCATTCATTGCACATGACCATACCATATCAGTTGTTTACTTTTGATATCCTGGGAAATGGTGCCTTCTATTCCCATCTATTCCCTTACTATCTCATTTCTTATCCTGTCTCTTCTTGAAATGCGCATAGATATTCTCATCACATCCATTTCCACGATCTCCATTTTTTTCTTGTATTTGTCGGTAATTCTCCAAGTTTCTTCATCGTACAATAACGTACTTTAAAGTACACGTGTACATATATATGTATATAGTATAAAAAAGAAATCTATAAATATATAGTTATTTTAAATTTACTTTGCAGGTTGGAAAAGACCATACTATTTTAATGCTGTGTGTTACTGTGTTCCTGAGTTACCTCCCTGAAGCAGGACAATATAGTTGTATATTCGTTTACTTAAAATTGGCTATGGGTTTCTCTAATCTCATGGTAGCAATATTTATCGCCGTGGTGGGCATCTTGAGTGTGGGAGCGCAGATTGTATTAGGACCCTTAATGAGAACACTCGGCAGCAAACATACTATAATGCTCGGTCTCTTATTTGAAATGTTACAGCTCATGTGGTATGGATTCGGCTCACAAACATGGTAAATCATCTTCATTTGCATCGTAGCAATGTTATTCTATTAATTATGCATTAAAATTTTAATAATAATTAAAATTAAATGAGACGATGGGAATAATGCCAAGTCTTATCAAGCGTTAATTATTTCAAGGATGATGTGGGCTGCTGGAGTACTTGCTTCTGTATCAAGCATTACGTACCCCGCGATTTCCGCATTCGTATCCATGCATTCTGATGCTGATAAACAAGGATTAGTGCAAGGTATGGTAACTGGGATGCGTGGTCTCTGCAATGGACTTGGACCTGCTATGTTCGGTGTCATATTCTACCTTTTTCATGTTGATCTTAACGACGACACACCAAATCTCCCTTTGAAACCGTCGTTTGTAGACGAAAACAACAGAACGGGAACTAGTACACATCTTGACATAATGCCTCAGGTACATACATTATATCTGCAGGTAAGCATAGTTTATTTTTGTTAGCCTATCTGTTCAGTAAGTTTTATACGTGCAGCATTAAAGTAATTTATTGAAATGTAATAGTTTTAATATTGAAAAAAAGAATCAATATATTTATGTATATATAAATACGTAGATAAAATATTGTGTTATATATGTTGATTTCAAATAAAAAAATCAAATGTTTGTTAAATTGTATTTCCAGCTTGTACCAGGGCCGCCATTCGTATTTGGTGCGTTACTTGTGATCTGCGCGCTACTAGTAGCCGCATTTATTCCTGAATCAAATACAATGTCAACAGGATCGTTGCATCACCCATCCACTTCCCGGAGGCCCTCCGGTAAATACGCATATCAGAAATGTACGTTACAGGTTGTCAAATATGCTAAAATGCCAAATATGTTTATGGTGATGGGATTCATCGAAAATTGTTTTAATTATAATCTCTATGGATTTGTTGAATGAGCAATATGAGCATAATGAGATTTATGCGAAAAAATTTTACGTACAAAAGTCGTGAGATACATGCAGCAAGTTTTACAAATACTATGTTTTACTTATATTGAACAATGTAAGACTCAAAGCGCTTATTATTTTAGGTTTGTCCTTGGACGTTCAATATGAGGCAGACCGAGTAGGAAGTGGAAGAGGAAAGATCGGTCCGCTATCACCACTAGTCGACAATTGTAACTCCGCCGCGCTATAATGTCTATTGAAAAATGTAAGACAAGCCATATAGTACACGACGAGAATACTTTAGCCAAACGGTAAAAACTTCATCCTTAATCAGAGGTGAAGAGGTCGTTACTATGAAATGCACCTGATTCGATCAGGCGACTGTAATAGAGTTGTCTATATTGTATTATACTATTTGTTTAAGACAGTAACTAAGCTTGATTTTAGGACTTATCGATGGAACTTAATGTTTAGGTTGTGACAAACAATTTGCACAAGCAGTGCTTGTGCGATAATACCGTGGGTTGATCTCAGAGTCGAGTATAATCGTACTACAAGCGTGTTATGTTGCAAAAAAAAACGTAACATTAAATTAGATCTTCCTTTTCAAGATTCTTGCGTCGACTATTCAATCAGATGTAACAATTTTATGCGAAGTAAAATCAATGACTCTTTACGCAGCTCGCCAACGGCACAAAACATCAATGAATCACATGATACATCAATGAAAACTGAAAACCTGTATTTTACTAGAGTTATCTTATGAATATTTGATCCTTTACTTTGATGTCGTATCCTTTTCTTTTGTTACTAATTTATATTATCACATTTTATATCAAGTGCTAATGTAAATTGTGCAACATATTTTTGCATCTCCGTACATTCGTAGCACTAGAAATAGCTTTTACACATTCCTTGTAAGCATAATTTTTGTATACAAAAGCAGCATTAATTGACAATTGAAAAGGATGCAAATTCTTTAAATCGTATTTTCTTTTTATACAGGTATGATATAGTAATTATTACTTATCATACTTGTCATCATGTTATAATTTATCTAATATTTATAGATCATGCGACTTGTTTCTTTGTGCACAAACTATTTATTTTAATTCATAGAAACTATAAATATAATGAGAAAGGCCTCAATGCTAGGAACAAGTTATACAAAGTGATAGTTTGTCATTTAAAGACAATGGTAGACATTAACATTATGAGTAAAATGAAATATTAAATTATTAATTGAGAATCAATAGTTCTCTTAAATTATGTGTGTTATAATCGGAATCACATTGATGTTAAAATGAGAAAAAAACGTTTTATAATAGAATAGAATCTTATATATATATTTTGCTTCTATTTTACAAAAATATCAAAACTTTTAGGAGAAATATGTTTTAATACAATAGTATTCATTTATATATATATAAAATTTTGATTGTTTTTTTGATGCGATTTATCTTTAATTTGTGTTATTATTAGTATGTTTATGTAAAATACCAATATTTTTGTGTTTACACAAAAAATACAACCATTTTAAACTAACTTGTAGGAAACGAGAAGTATTTTTTTTTCTTTTTTTTTTTAGTTATTGTACTGAATTGGATCTTAAAGTCATTATGCTCTTAAATTCGATTAGTCTCGATAAAAGCCAAAGAGTGATTAATGACAAATGCAAAATAATCGAAAAATAATAATAATGTGCAACGCGCCCTTACTACAAATTAATTTCGTAAATTTTGATATTTGCACACGTTTGTGATTATCTTCGAAGCTACATCAATTATTTGATGGATATTTATTGGATGATATTAATACTGAATCGTTTTATAAATAAAAGTAATAAATATGTATTTTATACATATTTAATATTAACTCCTTTTTTATATAAGGCTGTTTAAAACAAAACAAGATATTAAAGGTTTCAGTCGATATGGCTTATAATCTTTGTCGAATATATTGAAATTATGTGCGTTTTCTAGAACATAGCTGTATTACAGTAAAGTATTACAGAACGAAGTAGAAATCGTGAGCAGGTGTATACAGTGCAATTACGGTTCTATAGTTTCTGTTTGTATTTCCTTAGAGTTACTTACGAACTCGCTCTCGTACACTGAAGTAAATATATGCAATTGTATTATAAATATACAAAACAAGCAGGAATATTATAATATTAAGAATAAAACATAGAATAAGTCTTGACTCGATCACGAGTTAAGTAATTGTATATGTATAATGTACGATGAATGCATTAATAAAAAGTAATTATTTTTAAGATAAATAAAAGTATCACTTGTACAAATTTCACATTTATGCGATATAAAATATATATATATATATACTCAGTTGAAATATTAAATTAAAAATATTTGAGATATTCCATATTCAAATAATGAATCAATCGTGAATTTGAATATTGACAAATAATTTAATGAAAAAATTTTTATTAAAATCGTATTATTTTATATACAACAATAAGTAATTATTTAAACATTTCATATTTGTATTAAAAATGTGACGAGCACCTTCTATAATAAATTGATATACCGTTTTATAATCAGATTAATCTTTTTTTTCTGTCTTCATAACATCTTTAATATCTTTATATTTATTGTACTTATTTCGTTGCAATTATTCCATAACATCTAGGAGAGAGTGTTGGATCAAACAAACGTATTACAGCAACCTTGGAACACTTGATATTATTTTGTAAAAATATTATTCTATCCAACATGATTGCCGCTTCCACTACCGAGCTCATATATATTCTCAACATTTGAAACAGACGCAATCTTGATTCGAAATGTATGTGATTCTGATATATTTCTTGCAATACATATGCGGATGGTATCTAAAATCATATATTTTATAAAATATATAATATTTCTATATATA